ATATGGTTATGGTCCACATTTGTTGGTGTTCTTGAGATTCTCTACATCCCATCAACAAAGTGCGAAATTAAAATGAAAATCACCAATCAATTGGAAGATCGTAACTTATTCAGGCTAAGAATCAGAAATCTATGGATCAATGTATATTTATACTTCCGCTATTTTCATTCTCATAGATTTCAAGGTGGATAGTTATATTTGAGAAATGGTTTGATAAAATTAGGATTTGATTAACGGTTTTGATCAATAATCATTTTCTGTTTTTCTATCATTTCCTTCTTCATCTGCCCTAGAAACTGACAAAAAGAAGGGTCAGCAAAAAAGAAAGAACAAAAACAAGTAAAAAGACGATGAGAAACGAGAGGACAAAATACAGGCGTTGATACAGCAGCAGGCCAGCAGCCAATTTCATTGTCTTTTACTTCTTTAGTTTCAACAATAAAGAGTACACTGGAAGAGGTGAATCCGATGAGTTTGGGCCGACGATGTAGGCAAATATTTTATGAGGTGTGGCGGAAGTTTTATAGGTTGGGGTAAATTTGAGAGGTGGGGGAAGAAGAAAAATCTTCTTTTATTTTTTTAATTTAATTATTATAAGATTATGGGTAATTATATTCACACCACTTTTTTTTTTTTTCCTTGAACCACATTTTAATTGTATTTAAGGTTCTTAATATTTGATTATTATAGCACTCATATCCCTAANTTTAATTGTATTTAAGGTTCTTAATATTTGCTTATTATAGCACTCATATCCCTAATGATTTTTCGTGTCATTTTTTTCCTCAATTTTTTCCATCAGTTAACACATTTTACGTTTGATAATAGTTTTATGTCCTTAAGTCCGTTGAAATGTCGTAAAATAACTATTTTCAATCATATTTTAAAAATAATAAATAAATACAAAGTGCGAGGAAAAAAAAAAGATTTTCCCCTCATTTTAAAGAATGAATGCAAAATATTTTGATAAAAATTATTATCGTTGATGAAACTTACTAATTAATAAATGGTTGAAGATAAAAATTCGACAAAAAAAAAAAAAGTTAAGAAAATAATTGTTACTATGGGCAAAAATTGAGGAGCATAACTACAATCAAAATGTGGTGTAACAAATAAAAATTGTGGTGTTAATATAACAACCATTAATTTTATTTGAAATAATATAAAAGTACTATTTTATCCTTTCTACATGGGACAAAAGAAGTCAAATTTGTTTTAATGGTCAACTAACAGTGAAAATTGATGGTTTCCATCCATTTGGACTCCTGTACGAATTTCTAAAAAATTTGGTATCGTGATTTGTACAAATGAAAGGTTCAGGTCAGGTTTGCTACTAAATAAAAAATGTTCGGTATTATGGCTACAATTCTCCCATTTATGTAGGACCTATTTAAGGGTAGTTATATTCTCACCACATTTTTTTATAAGTACACGACATTTTAAGCGAGTAATACTATTTAGCATTATTTGTGTTAAAACACTAGTCTATGTGACACTAATGTTACATTAAATAAAATGTATAATTAAATGAATCGATTAATTCTACATTTCATTAAGTTTATCGCTTAGCGACACCTATATATGTGGTGCTAGATAATATTATTCATTTTAATTACATTAAAAGTCATTAATCTTTATTCATTATAACACTTGTATCTTTAACATTTTTCTTCGTCATATTCTTATTTTTAACATTTCACTAATTAGAAAATTTTATCCTTAATCATCATTTTCATCCAAAAATATTATTAACGTGCTTTAAAATGAGATAAAATATTTTATGACATTTTTGCAGTATTATTCGTTTTGCTTATTCAAAAATACAATGGACATATGAGTCTTTTTATTCTATTTTAAGGAAATTTTGGAAAGAAATTATAATCATAAACAATTTATGTTAATTTGAGAACAGGAATGTGATGAAAAAATTGTGAGACATAAATGTAATAATATGTAAAAGTTACGAACATTTAATATAATTAAATTGTAGTCTAAACATTAAAAATGTGATGTGCTCCTATTTAAACTTGGTTTCATGGGGAGTGTTGTTTCTGGTGAATTTTGAATAAAGAAATGCAGTTCTTGAAAATCTACCTTTTGTAAGAATTGTTGCTTAAGTTGTGTTCATGGTTCGTTTATTCTTGGTTCTAGACCAAATTTTACGTCATTATTCTGTATAAACCAACGAGTCTTGTTGTCTAGTGGTATGTTACTCTTACAAATAATTAGAGGTTTTTTTTTTTTTTGTCAGTTTTTTCCTTAATGCACGCAATTATACATGAGGGATTCCCATTTACAATTTAGGGAGCTCTCTAACGTCATCATGAAGAAAATAGATATTTTGACTTCACTTATTCAAGTGTTAAGGATTGCTATTTAACACATCTCACAACACAATTTTCATACTCGTCACTTACTATTAGGATTTGAATTTCACGGCTCGCAAAGTTACCTTTTTGGTCATGCCCCGATGGAGTGCGTTTGTACATTAGCCTAAAACTTACTAAGAAGTGTCATCATGCCATGTTGAAGTTGGATAAAATTTTCATCATATATCAATTAACCATACAACTACTTACGAGGTTCTTGGAAGTGTTCACCTCGATTAAGTCATTCAACATAAAGGCGTTCCGATTATTATTAGCATAGCCTGTGGTGCATAACCGCTTAAATATGTCTTTGATCAATATGTCGCAAAACACTACCCAAATTGTGCTCTTTTGGCCAAGCTTCACATTTAAGACTTCGACCCTCCCTTTAAAGTAGCGGATCTCTTGGAGGAATGATTTGGAAGATCCAAAACCCTACGATCCTATCAATTGAGAAAGAATCAATATATTCCTTTTCGAGAGTTTTGCTTATTTCTTCTTTTGAGGATCAACAAATCAAATGATATTTCTGAAGGTTTAGCACCTCGATGTCGGCTCTTCGTCACTCGAGAAGTATCGACGTAACTTCATAGAATCATTCAATCTGAATGCTAAATCAGATGTCGTCGTAAATGATGGAATCCACCAATACATTGGACTAGTTTGATTCAACTAGAATATTAAGATTGATATCTTTTGTTCTTAAAGAGACATTCGTTTTGCATTAGTTAAACTGATAATTAACCAAATTCAACACAAGAAGCAATTTTCCTCCAAAGAATAAATTAATTTCTTAGATTAACCAAGTTAATCAATCATTAACAAATAATTACATCTTAATCCCAATCTCTGTCTAATCAACACATTTCTAATCCATATAAAACGCCAGCATATTGCTCATGCCCAAACTTCCCGAAGTGAACGTCCCTAATCTTTTGAAAGGCGTGCCACGTCAGCAAGCTATCTGAACCGGCCTGATGACACTTCCCGACAACCCGGTCTACTTCCAAAGCCCTAGCAACCCGGTCCAGACCGCCATACAAACTCTCGCAGAACCGGATCAAATATTTCACATCGTACACGTTATTCCCGAAAAAGACCCTGATAATTTCCAAAAAGTCGGTCAACTCCGTCGGCAACGGGCTGCGCGTGAGAATCTTCACAAGGTAACCGAAATCGTACGTGCTATGGAACGTAACCCAGCTCACTGAGCCATTGCACACGAGACCAGAACTCATCATCAACTCAGCGAAAACCGCCGAGTCTACTCCTGAAACTCGATTCTTCTCAAAGTCAATTCCATGAGTCCTCAACAATTCGATCGAGTCCGGAGCGTGTATATCACGCTCCACGTCAAAATCTGAGAAATTAAACTGCCAGATAACCCGGTAGCCGGATCCCAGATCCGGCAAATTCCCTGCAGCATCAGAAAGAGTAAGACCAAGTTGAATCAAGTTCAATACGTCGACGTTCGACTTAAGGATCTGGTAATGATGAAACGGCGACTGCCTACCACGATGGTGGTGGTGATGCTTTGATTCTTCCCCCGAAGATTTAAAAATCACACCCGGAAATTCTGTATCCATTGAAATATAGGGGTACTCGTCAATTAGGGTTGAGATCAATCTAAATTCAGATTCGAGATTCTCGGACCATACTTCACGGATTATTATAGATCCGGTATTTTGTTTCAAATTTTGGGGATCCATGAAATGGGATTTTGACAGAATTCACGAAGTTGGAAATCTATTGAGAAAATTCAGAGAAAAAAATAAAAATAAATTGGGATTTACTTATTGGCTTGGAAAATTGATGAGATTGGGATTGGTTTTATAGGGATATGAAATGAACTGAACAAATAATTGAATCAGGTGCAAGTGGGATGAATTCAATTTCCAATTCAGAGAACGCGGAATTGTTTACTGTACACTGTTTTTAGAAGGGGACAAAAGGAGTATTTAATTGAAATATCAATCAATATTTTAATTAAGGAAAATTAGCACGTAACGTCCCTGTTATTATGGAAAACGTCTTTATCTTTTATTTTTTTGGCATTTTTACACTTATTTCCATCTTTTATTGCGCAAAATGTCATTTTCATTTATTTTCTCAATTAAAAAGTATGAAATGACGAATATATCATTTTCTTTAAATAAAACAAAGAGAAAAAGAAAAAATTAATTGCAATCATAGTTCCAAATTTTTTTTAAAAAGCACAAATGAGTCTCAAATAAATTATTAAAAGGGTAATTAGTACATAATGTCTCTACCTTTACTATTATTGCAAAACAAAAGTCTCAACATTTTATTTTTTTGACATTTTCACCCTTAATTACATATTTGATTACGCAAATCATTCTTTCTATCAATTTTCATCCAATTTTTCAATAAAAAACTGTGAAATGATGAATATACCCTCATATTTAAATGAAAAAAGTTAAAGAATTAATTGTAACCATAGTCCCAAATTTTTTTAAAAAAGTGCAAAGGAGTCTCCAAATTTTTCACATTTTTTTCTTTTTGTTTTATTTAAAGAGAATGGTATGTTTGTCATTTCACAATTTTTAGCTGAGAAGATAAATGAAAAGTAATGATGTTTTTTCACAATAACAATAAAAAGTGTAAACGTTATATGCTAATTACCCTTTTAATTAAATACTTGGTGATTTATTATTTTTCGTTATTCTGAAGTCATTTTTTCTAATCTACATCCTTACTCCCCTTTCACTAATTGAGTCCCTATTGCATTTTTAAGTGGCAACTTGAAACTGTATCAAATTATAGGCAAGAACAAGACGTCGAGAACACCTATAATGTTATCGTTGTGATTTCACATTTCACTGGTTCTTGAGCAGCTCGAAAGTCTATTGAGCCATGGAGTAAAAATTCGAGAATCTTCTTAGCATGAGTCACAAAAGATAAGTGGTTTGCATTGGAGAAGAATACGAATATTAGTGAGCACGCATTCGATGTGGGATTTATAGATTATCAGCCTGACATGTTCGAGCATCAAGCGCCCTCTTGATTGACCTAAAGACTGCCATTTGGCAGGATCTGCAACTGAATATTTTAAGGCATATTTCAATGAAAGAAGACTTTCTTACCTCCAGAGTCGATTCTCGTAATATTATATTTAACGTGTCATTAGGTTAAGATCTTGAGTAGGTTTATAGAATTGAATATGATCAATTTTAACAAGATTAAATTAAATAACTGTTAACTTGATGAGTATGCCGGATTGTGCAGGATAGAGTTAATTGTTTCAACACTCACCGAACTTTGGGTGGTGTCACGTTTTACTCACTGTACTT